ATAGCGAATTGTAATGGTTTGAAGGATCGTAAGCAATGTTATACTGGTGCTCAAGCTCATGTGCATCGGGAAGATACGGGAAGATCATGCACGTAAGTTATCTCTTATTTTCTAGAAACACTACTTGGTATGTACTATTGCTTATGTCAGACTCACTTATAAATGCCCTGAACCTCTGGTGATGTACGGTTGGACGGAAGATCAAGAAATAATACCAATCAAATCCAAACTTCTCTGTACTCTTACCGTACGCAATTGGAGAACAACGAGTCTTCGTATTTTGACAGACATAAGCTGCATGTCACGACCGCAAACCAGTGAGTACTATTATAGAAGAAAATTCAAGCTTTTTCTCGCCACACTCCTTTTTAATAACATCCCATTGTCTTTCTAACCTCATTTACTATTTTCTAAATATTAAAACTCTAACAAAAATACTTTATTATATGATGTGGCGGATGTACGGACGTCTATGAAGTGAAGACCCCTTGTGACCGTGAGATTTGTGCTGCTCGTAAGGATGTTTCAATAAGTATATATAGAGATCCAGGAAATCCTCAAAGATGCTTGTAAGATTATTCTTTAAAAATTTGCACCTTTTTGCGGAAAACATAATAATGCTTAATTTCTTCTTTAGGATGGATTTTGCTTGTCCACCAGGGACAACGCGATACATATATGAAGCTGTTGGTAAAGGTTATGTGAAAGCATCGACGAGTCCTATTACATGTCGCAACGAAGGACCTGGATTTCACTGGACAACAATGTTGGCGCCACCGTTCGAGGACGCATTTGTGAAACATGTCTCCTGTTTTTCGGAAACCTAGTGACGAATGTGTTCATTGTTAATAAGCTAAGGCAATCTGTAATAATTTGTGGAATTAAGATACTTGATAAATATCTAAGAATTTTTTTTGAAAATTTTTGAATAATAATTAAATTACACTCATGGATATTAAAAGTACAATGAAAAAGTAATCTCTTGGAGGCTTGTGAAGTCTTCCAACCGCCAGGAACTGTAGTCACTGCAACAGCTAAATATCTAACTTAAAAACCAATTCAAATAACAAAAAGCAGATCTGCTGGTGGAAGCAGAGAAAAAGAAATGACAAGCGGAAAATAACGTTGAAAAGTGAAAGTTTGTGTTGAGCACAGACTGCAGACACTGCTAGTAACAAGGTGTTAAATGTTTTTCCTTTTGTGCAGTTATCTTCCCATATATTTCTAAACATTATGGGGTACAGACACTAGCCTTTCTATGAACTATAACACCTCATTTATATTTTCGAACCATCCAATTGATCCGCTTTTTGAAGAAAAAGCAACACGTTAAGTCGACATTATGAACAGCGTTTTCGACACTTAATTATATCCTCTCTTCCATGATTCTTCTTAGATTTGTTTTACTTTTCCCGAATGTTACAAGCCAACCAAATGTATTATCTCATTGTTTACATACTTTCCTTGTCTTTACATCATTCTGCTGAACTTCTTCAGAGTTGTTGTCCGCAGTTATATGGAAGTATTTCAACCACTTCTTGAAAAAATCTTCTTTATTATGAGTTTTACTTGAGCTTATATCCATTAGATGAAGAGCAGAGACATGCCGTAAAAGTTGAAATTTATTCAAATGGTCGTTTGGCTTGAATGGCTTTCCAGTACATTATTTATAGGTCTGGCATGCAATCATTTCAGCAGAGCTTAGGATTCATTTCGAACCCCTTACCGGCGTTTATATTAGAAGCAGACGATCTGAATGTCAAAAGCGGTTGATTCCCTCAAAATGACCCTGTTGATCTTGCTTATCAGCTTTGAGAGAAATTGACGCACAATAATCTGTTGAAGAGTATTATATAGCATCTTTGATCTTAGCCGAAAGCAACCGTATTCCCTTGGACTCTTGCACTTCTGCGAAACATGCCACACATCAACTTTCCCATTCTTCTAATTTTAGCTGATTTTTCATATGACGGGGGCATTTCACGCGCCTATCCAACTTTACTATTATGCTGAGACAGTGAGCGCTAGCTGACCCGCGAGGAGTCCGACTCACTGTCTGAGGTGCCACCAGTGGCAGCAATCAATGGCATCGCTTCTCGGCCTTTTGGCTAAGATCAAAGTTTAGTTTCTGTTCTTATCGAATTAACCTTCGATA